TTTCAAAATCCCTGGTAGCCCTTTGGGCAGGTACTCTTCAGGTTTTGGTAGCCCGAAAATTAATTTAACTAGCCCAAATAAAAATAAAAAAAACTTTTTTTAATATAGAAAATCAGATAGGAGTTTAAATGTCAATCAAAAATATTTTCAATACACAAATATCAACAAATATGAAGGAAGGAATTTTATTTCACTATTTACAGGGTATCTGCAGAATTTTTAAAAATAAATTTAAGGCGATTTATGACCCATTTTAAGAGCTGCACAAGTAAAATGAACACAGTATGAGTGGGGTTGGACAATGTCTATGGTAACATAAGGTATTGAGCCATAAAATTACATGATTTACAGTTCAGATACAGGTTTTCACAAAAACAAAAATCTTATACAACAGCATTTCAGCCTTTAGACCATTTTTATGCAAAGGGATAAATCAAGCATATAAATTGTCAATTTAAAACGGATAAATATTACTGTCTTAATTGTTTAGATTTTTAGAAGGCACATTAACTTCTTTCTCATTTACAACTCTGTGTTTGCTGCGTAAAAACATGAGTTGATATTTGCATTGATCTGACCATAAACAACAAGAACCGCTTCCGCACCGCTTTTTGACTTGAAACATGTAGCGCTCATATTTATTCAATGACGTCATTGCCTTTTGAAGTTTAATCCAGCCGTATCGCGACTCTTGTCTTTCCGCCCCCAACTGTAAGACCTCTTGAAATTATAATTAAGACATTTCTTATACCATTTAAAGTATTTAAAACTTTGTATGGCCTCAAGTATGATACAACTCACTTAAGGAGTTTTTAAGGACCCGCGGGAGATCTGCATTTAAGATAGCCCGTCGGGCAGAGTGGTGATACATTTTTGTAGCCCGACTGGAAAACAAGATAGCCCCGGGACGTCGGGCTAGCGATTTTGCGAGCCCTTGGAAGTGTGTTTTGTCATCTCCATCTGTCCATGCACACGTTGATTTTTCCAATTCATAAGTGGTGTTTGTTCTGCACCATTTGTGCTGTGGACATGAATGATACCTCATTGAGGGGTGCTATTACTTTTCTACGCAAGTGATCTGGTGGACACTAAAATGGGTGATATTGAGAAACCATAATATTTTAGATAGTTTTGACTTGGACCTCAAAGCTAACAACTAGAACACCCTAGTTGGTGATGACTTTTGTTTTGCTGTTCTCAGTGATGATTGCATTTTGTTCTTTAGGTGAGACAGATCCCAAGGAGCGTTTGGCCCGGCAGAGAAAGCAGTTACAGAAGAAGTTGGGATTGGATATGGGTGCTGCGATCGGCATGGACACAGAGGAGCTATTTAATGATGAGGACCTGGAGGACGCTTGTGCTTCCAGTACCAACAGATCACAGCCTGGTAAAAACCTGGGATGTCAATTCTCACGCAACCATTTGGTGAGTGGTGCTGCAATCTCTTACAAATGCCAAACGCTTCAAAGCTTAGAGTTTTAAGGCTCACATTAGTGGAGGTGAGGCCCTTATCGTGTTAAAATGTTCAGTTTTGTGTTCTCTTCTTCAGCCAGCTGCAGAGCTCATAGATTCTGAGTTTCGTCCAGGCATGTCCAATCGACAGAAAAATAAAGCCAAGAGGATGGCGAAACTTGTGGCAAAGCAGAGATCCAGAGACGTGGAAACTAATGAGAAGAGGTAGAGATGCAATGCGAAGCGATTTGTATTTCCTTCTAACCTTTTATTGCCTGATTTTAAATCTCAATATAAAATTGGATATATCAGGTTTCATGAAAGTTTTTAAAGGTGCAGTAAGAGATTTCTGGATAACACGGTTGATATTTGAAGTCATTAAAACAAAAAGGCCCCTACCCAAAAGGATCACACCTTTATCTTGATGGCTCTGCCTCCAAATTCACATATGTTATGCAGCACAGGCACCTCCTCCATCATGAGTGGACATGCCGCTTATTGGTGATTGGCTGAAAGTATGTTTTAGTGTTCGGTCTGATCCACTTTCAATAGTGTTTCTCAGAAATTGCTTACTGCACCTTTAACAGCCAAGAACAAAGAGGCTACATAGGTTTTTTTTTTCTTTTTTTTTCAGCATTTTAAAGATGACCGCAACCAAGCAACTTCATGAATCATGAACTCTAGATTCAAAGGGAATGTGTTTTTATACATGGTTGTATCACACACTTGAAAGTAGGGGTGTGCACAAATAGTCAAATATTCAATCTAATTATTATTCGAAAAATAAAAACACTATTCGAATTTTACTACTTGTTGCCTTGCTGGCCATAAATGCAGGGAATCCATGATAAATCCTAAGCACGCAAACTAAAAGTCCGTTATAACTAAATGAACTGGTTGGCGCTGTGGAGCGCGTTAACAAGTCGATTGTATTCGATCACAGAATGTCGTTGTCTGCCTCGCGAAGTTTGGAATTACTTTGATCAAAATTATCTTTCTAAATGATCTTACAAAATGGAATTACTTTTGATCAAATGAATCAGTCAAACTGAGTCATCATAATATCACCACCACAATGAGAGATCACATGAAATTCAAACAGCTGTCGACGGAGGAAAGACAGCTGTCCATCACTGCATTCATGACTGCAGGTGAGCGCAGCGGTACCCTGAGTGAGCAGAGAAGAGAGCTTATCTGAATGGTCTTGAGACCAGCCCTCTACGGACACCTTGGCAATTGAATCGCCAAAGTGAAAATGCATAATAGGACCCCTTTAAGATTCCTTGAGGGAGAGTGGTTTAAGAACAGAAAACACAAAGCGCTGTAAGAAATTTTGCTTAGCACTCCGTTATCTTTGCGTCTCTGGAACGTCTGTGTCAGCGTGCATTCTTACTGTTATTAGACTGAGGAG